CGCCTCTTGCATAGTTTCAGATCAGCTTGTGACCACTGGTGGATTCAGCTGTCCCTTGTGGCAAGGGATTTAAGTAGAATCCAAAAGTCCCTCAGGCCTCCAAGATCTCTAACCAACTGCTCTGAGTGTCCCAGCATCATATTCCGAAGAGAATGGAACTTTTTAGATATCAGCACTTTGTTGTTGCAGAGGTAATAACACATGATAAGAGACTGAGTCCCATTAAAAAGGATTAAAGCATTCAACTGATTCTTATTTTTCAATCCTTTGTGTCCATCATGATATCTGTACTCAGTGCATAAGACAGGGCTCCTAACCTCCAGGAGCTCCCAGTCTAACTGGACCCATACCTAAATGCTAGGTCCATGGTGTGTATCTGCTAGAACTGAGATACTTAACAAGTGTTATTGGAACTCAATAATTCTGGGCCTCAAGGAGAAAGCAGGATGCTGAGGGGAAGCGGGAAGAAATCAGCACATTTTAAAAGTGTGTATGGGGTGGGTGTAGAAGGGGGAAAAGGCAGAGCACATAAACCTGGAAAAGCCTGAGAGTATTATGGGTTGTTACCGAGGAATCCCACACAGCACCAGTGACAACTTGCATATATACGTTGCTTTGTAGTTAGAATAGGCCATATACTTCATCTCAGCTGATGTCATAGACTGAGCAGATATTCCTTCTAGGTATACACAGTTGGACCGAAGTGCTCAAAATCATGTAGTGAGTGAGTGGTAGAATAAGAATCACATCCAGGTATTCAGGTCCCTGAACCCAGTGCCCTTTCTAGAGCACAAGGCAGCCCGTGGGTGGTCAGGTACATGCACGCACGCAGGAGACAGTCAAGGGAAGGTAGGGTCATTAGAGATCCACTTGCTCAGATGTTCTGAGGGCAGGAAAGGGCTTTAGAGAAGTGGTTCTTGGCTCTGGTTCCACATTAGAAATACCGGAGGAGATTTTTTTAAGTCTCACAAGCCACCCCGGTGCCTAACTCCAGAGAATTTTATTTCATTGGTCTGGGAGGCTGGCAGTAGAAGTTTTTTAAAGCATCCCGGGCAACTCCAGTCTGCAGCCCAGGTCAGCAGCACTGTGTGAGGGGTCCTTTACGGACACATACTTGCTTCTTTTTATGTCTTCATCTCCCCAGACCAAGAGTGAAGACTCTGCCCTTACCCATGACCTTATTCAGCGTAGACAGCTTAAATACTGCAATGTGCAAAAGTGGTGCACCTGTTTCCAATAATCTAGTGGCTATTCTGAATTTTCTGATTTTCACAAACAGAGAAGCTGCTGAAGGTGAGTGCAAAACAGAGAAAAATGCCCAGGCGAACAACAGTATGTTGTCCTTGGGAGCTTCACTGCCCCAGTTGCTTGGGCAAAATCCTACTGCTCAGATTATTCTGTGGCAGTAGTAAACCCTCAAATACTTGGTTCCAAATGGATTAGCTCAGAACTCCAGATGAAAATGTAGGGTCATTTTAGAAAAAGAGTTATTAAGCATAATGCCAGATCAGCAAGCCTAGATCAGCAAAATTGATTATCCTGCCATATAAAAAATAAATAAATAAACAAACAAGCAAATAAATGAAAATGGTATGTCAGTGGGAACTTTTCCCACTTAGTGGACCAGTCCCTTAAAGCAACAAGCCCTGCCTCCATCCTACCTCAGCCCCTCACAATGTTCATGTACACAGATGACGTAGTTCCACCAAGTAAACCAAATTTAGAGGAGATTGAGGCCCAGGAACAAAACACACTGGGCTATCATCCGTGCAACAGAAATGGCTTAATAGGACCCAAATGACCACAGTGAGCATCCTGGGCTCCTTTCCTGACGTGGCACTGATTCAGACATAGGACTTCTAGATCCTTGTCATATCTAGTCTAATGGAAAGGTACAGAACATTTTTAACCCAACAGCAGATAATTGTAATGAAATGATTCTGGCCAAAAGGGCCCATTTGTAATAATGAATTCAAATCAGATTCATAGAAGCTGTAATTCAGCCATAGTGAACACCACCTTCATTTCCCATATCATCTCTCTTCCAAGAAGACAAAATTACTCAATATTCAAATAATTATTTTTACTTTTCAAGTAGCCCTGTGAAGTAGTTATGAAGAAGATAATATTGCCTCACTTATATAAAATGAGTTTTATCCACGTTCGAAACTTCAGTGTCATCTCCGGCACATCACTTCCTAACGTCCCTCAATGCAATCAAAGACCTATCAAAACAAAACTGTTATCGCCAAGGAAGGGCATCATCCTTCTCTAGGCCATGCAATTTCTCATTGGAAAATTCAAATGAGGGCCCAGCTTCCTCCATTCCTTTACTTTTCTACTAGGTCTCTGGCCTCCTTTGTGACTTTAGGAAAGATTTAGAAGCATATATGAGAGATTTTGATCCAAAGTAACCACATTCGAAAAGACTTTCTGTGGCTCATGGGCCTGGGAAGCATTCAATGTTTTCAATACATCCTGCACATTTGATGCATTCAGAACACTAAATTTCCAAACACTGGATTCCCAAGGGAACATCTTTAAGGAGACTGAAGTGTGACCATACTTAGAATCATGGTCTTCTAAAAGCAAAATACAACACGCAAAAAACATGATACATTTATCTGAGGTTGAGGCTAAGGATTTCCCAAGACTGGAAGCCAGGACTCTCCCTTGAAGCACTGACAAATAAGTTTTTCATTGACATGGGCACACAGCTGTTAGCCAATAAACCAAAGGTGCATGCAGAACTAGAGAGAGACTGGGACCCCCAGAAAGCTGCAGGAGATTGGGATGTTGTTTTAAGAAACACTGTGACAAGAATGAAATCAAAACCTTAAAAAAAAACAGAAATTAGTAAGAATTAAATGACAAAGGCAAAAAAGGGTGAAGAGAACGAATTATAGGCAAAAGCATGTAAAATGGAATCACCTGATAAAAACGAAGACTAATAAGAGAGAACACAAGAGGTAAAAAGGAGAAAGAGATTAAAATGTGGACAATGTGCTGAATCTATTTCAGAGCAAACTATACAGAGGAGGAGAGACAAAATCAACACTTTTTAAAAAATAAAAGCATGCAATCAGGTAACAGATAACAGTTATACTCGCACATCTAAGGTTTTTTTTTCCTCCACAAAGCACAAAAAGCAACTATTCAGCTTTTCCCGTTTTTATTCCCATTCCCATTACCAAGCCCAGCTGCTGAACATTTGAATTGAAGATCATGAAACCAGGCCAGCCCCTAATAAAAAAAAAAGGCAGAGCGAAGCTAGCCCTCTGCTGGTGGAATCATCTTACTGCATCCTGGAAAGCAGAAAGCTGGAGTTTTTAAGTTTCTGCTTTAACTTCCAGGGTCAGGAACGGGACAAAAGATTTGGAAGGTTCAGCAAGGAGGCTTTATTCGGTGCTGGGCCTCTTCGCCCCCAGTACTAGATTAGAAGATAAAGACAGGTGCGTGGCAGCATCACCAGCCCCTCACACCTGCTAACATTTACCAACATTTCCTCGGTGAACCTGTGTTGTAGCCAGGGTACCACTCCTTTTTGAGCCCACAGCTCTGCGGCCAGTGTGCATCCCACAGGTCAATTTTCAGGGGGAGGCTCCGGAAATTTCTTGAGACGTATTGCACTCTAGTCTGGGATAGGCTGACGAGTGCCCATGGGGCTAGAAGGGTTTTCCCTCCTGCAGTCAGGGAGGGGAGTCTGTCCCTAGCACCCCTTTTTCTCTCTTCTTCTGGGGCCCCTGAGCACCAGCAGACAGATCTTTGAAACCTGTTCTCTTCTCCAAAAGAAGATGCAGCTAAGAATCTCCCAAAGTGGCAAGAATTCAACCTTAGCCTGGAGCTTGGGAAAGAATAGCCAGTGTCCCGAGAGACCTTTCTTTCCTTCCCCGGGCGCAGCTTTTTCAGATACAGAGAGAGTTCAACCAGGGCAGCCAAAGGAACAGGAAGGAAGCCCCATCCTCAACTATTCCTTGGAGAAGCCAGGCTTCTTGGCTGCAGAATCTGGGACAGCATGTTTTATTTTCAACATAACCATCAAAGTCATAGACAGGGCAAACGCATTCAGCCTGTGTACACTATAAGCCAGAGTTAAGCTGGGACGTCCCTGAATCTGTCTCCTAGGACCAGAACTGCCTCATTAAAGGGATAAAAGATGATATCTGCTGAGCTGGTGGAAAGTGGTGGCTGCATTTTTATTAAAGTCTCTGCTGCAGTGGGCCCAGTCCCCAAAGGTTCATATTCCAAGAATCTCCACCCCTCTGCCTGGAGCATGTAAGCAATTCTCTGTAACTCATTAAGGTAAAACAAAAAGCTTTCTATTGTGCTTTTCGCACAGGAGTGATGTCGTTGCATAAAAGCTACATGTTTCCTCTCCTTGGTCCGAGCCTGCAAAGATAAAACTGGCCTCATAATTTATAATAGGGGTCCCAGGAGCACCACACACGGTTGGCATGGATGGCTGCATCTTGAGCAGACTCATAAACGGCTATGGCCCAGCACTGGCAATTCCAGAGCCTGACATTTTAGGTAGGTCTCTGGTAGGAGCAAGCCACCCCATCGGGAAGACTACCCTGCCTCATCACGTTCTGGCCTGTGAGAGAGCACCAAAGCGCTCAGTGATCTTAGGCTAACCCCCAGTACTGCAATTACAGGGCGCTCGTGTTCTCATCTTGATGCCAGGGCATCAAGTGAATCTAGCCATGTCATGGCCTCATGGATGCATGGAGTCCCAAGCATGGACCTCCGTGTCCTGCATCAGATCCCCGACCAGAAAAGCCAGAGCAAATGACAAACCTGTCCAGGAAAATGGGTGTTAGCAGCCACAGTCTGCAAGTGGACAACTCTCGGGCCTGAAGAAAGGCCCTTCGCATGCCCTACTCCCCCACCCCAGCCTTCTGCTCTCTCTCTTTCTCTCTCTCTCTTGCTGTCTTGCGGGCCCCTACCCACATCCTTAACGTCCGAGGGGCTCAGTCCCCCGCTGAAGTACAGCTCCCTACCTGAGGGTGGCGCTCTCCCCCTGCCGGACCGTCACGTTGTCCATAGCTTTGGGGAAGGTGGCATCTCCGCTGCGCACGGGCACTCCTGTGGGTACAAGGAACAGCAGCCTGAGAGACACGACCACGAGGCACTTCCAGGGCAGGAACAGGTACCCACAGACCCCCATCCTCGACAGCCACAACTTCCCAGAACTCCGGCAGCGGCGCGGTCCTTGTCCCCCGCCCAGCACACCAGCGGGTCGCGGGTTGTGGTGTGGGGAGACGGGAAAGGGTTGGAGCAAGCCAGAAGCAGAGGGGTAAGGAGGAGAAACGAGTCCAGGCTCTCCGGAGTCTAATGATTCTTCCTCAAATCCTGCCTCAGCTTTCCAGCCTAGCAGAACCTGATGCCCCCTCCTGCATCCAAAAAGAGCTTTCTTGACGCTCCCCTGGGGAGGAGGGAGGCAGCCGGGAAGGGAGAGGAAGGAGGAAGGTGCAGGGATGAAGGTCACAGATTGCTCTTTCTCTGCCTCTCTCTTCAAGATGCTACTTTAAGATTCAGTTGGGCACGTTCTGCAGAGGTCTGGCATCAAAAGTTTATAACCCAAAGAAGCAAGGCAAGTGTCTCTGAAATAAAGGAGATGTCCTAAAAGGCTGCTGCTTCAAGGAGAGGAGAAAATGTTTTATTAGCTCACACACATGTACAGATGTATTTATAGACCAGCCGGAGTCTCGAATCTGGAACCCAAAGGCGGCAAAAAGTTCCAGCACGGGGACGCGGCCGTCGCAGCCCGAGGATCCGTCGGTGCCGTGGGCGTCCTCCACCGCAGCCCGGGCGGCGACTGGTGGCCAGCCCGGCCCGCGTCGCCAGCCCGCAGAGCGCCGCCCGGCGCAGGCTGCGGGCGCACGGGGAGCTGGCGGACGGCGCCCCCGCCTCCTCCGGGGACGCGGCACGGGACGCGGGGACGCGCGGACGCCACGCTTAGCGGCCGCCCCCGGCCTCCGCGCCGCCTTCCTCCCGGGAGTGGCCCCGATGCGCGCGGGCCCCGACCGCCGGGGTTGTCATGGCAGCAGCTCCATCACTGACCGCCACTTTCTCCCGGGCCGGCTGCGAGCGAGCCGGCGGACTGCGCGCTCATCCCGGCGGGCGGGCGCGGGGCGCGGGGCGCGGGCGCCCACCTTAACCCCTGCCGCGCCGCGCCCACAAGGGCTCCGCCGCCGAGCGGGGGTAAGGCGGACGCCGCAGCCGGCTCCACTCTCCCCCTGACACCCGAGCCAGCCGAGAGGATGCCGCGCCCCTCTTGGTGGCTTCCCCTGCAAGAGGCGGGGAGGCGGGGGGAGGGGAGTGGGGGAAGAGGGAGTTCGGGGCGGGGGTGGAGGAGGGAGCAGCAAATGGAAAAGTGATCCTCGCACCTTGCCCAAGCAGAAGTTGCCAGACCCCGCCCCGGAGAACTGAACATCATTTCCCCGGAGGTAGCTAAACCGGTGTGTGCGCGTTCACCACTGCCGCCGTTTGCCACCTGGCCAAGCTATACAGTCCTATGGCGGGGCTCCCCGGAGCTTTTGCAAAAAGATGAAATATGCTTTCTGCTCAGATTACCCACCTCGGAGCTACTCATGGCTCTAGACCTGCTCTCTCTCTTTCCCAAACTGGCAAGTCTGAATTTCTTCTTACTGCACAACATACAGAATAGTCCCCAAACTGCTCCACGCTCAAGTATCGTATTGTAAAAAAAGAGAGAGAGAGAGAGATGGGAAAAACACGTGGAGAGCCTAAAGAGTGTTAGGGTTGATTTTCAGAAACTCTATGGCTTTATGATCACAACATGAATTGGCACCACAGTGGTATTGGGAGGGGACTTGGGGATTACGGCATCCTTAAAGGCCAGCCTATCAGTTTCTTTGAGGCTTAATTTCTTTCAGTTCTTAACCAGAGAGCTCAGGCTTTCCTTAGGCCTGTCCTATTGCTTTTCTTCTGTTCCTTCTGGCAGAAGCCACCTCATACCTGCAGAACCATAGCTTATCCCCCTATATCATAATTCAGTGGTTGTTATGTGCATTTTCTTTACTGTATTCTTTCTCAAATCCTTTTGTTAAATTAGGCAGGGCTCTGGACAATGGAATTTAATTCAAAAATAAGCTTTAAATTCTTATTCATTACTTTAGCTGTTTAAGGATACAAAGGCATCTTATCTGCTCTCCATTATGGGGGACTGAGCTTTTATATATACTGCCCCATCTTCCCTTGTAAATGGGAGCCCACATATGTTTTTAGGTCTAAAGTTTTTAATGAGAGCATCACACCTCAGGAAGAAAGAATACTGGTCACTAGTCATGCTATGTTTGCTTTCTCTCTTTTAAATAGTAAAAAAAAAAAGAAAAAGAAAACCACATATCAGCTCCTTTCCAGAGAAAAGAGATATTAATAAAGACAGGAGTTGGGCAGAACACTCATCCTGAGCTCTTGGGCTACAAGGGTGGGAGAGAAAAGATGCCCAGAAGAGAAGCTCAGCCCTCAGAGAACAGCCAAACTACTTACTTTGGAACCACCTGCCAGTTTTAATGACACACATCTTTCCTGGAGATTTGAGTGTACCTGGGTTTTCTGTATACACATTGTACCTAATCCTCTAAACTCTGAGATGCTCTTATCCATTATCACCAGACTGGAAAGGCTTTCTTTAGTGCTTTAACCTGAGTGAAGCTGAGAATGTGAGGCTGTGCTTATTATTTTCTTCAGTTACAGAGTTTTTGTCTTGAACGCTGGGGAATGGTGGTATGGGGTTGGGTCAGTCTGCCGTAGGAGTGACACAGCTCTTGCCACTTGGTTGTAGTGGGGTCAGGTGACATTCCCTTGTCATGCACCTGTCGGTCCGGTCCTAGTGCTCCTTGGGAGATGCAAATGGAGCAGTTGCTAAATGCTAACTCAGTCTATGAAGGATTGCTTGAAATGGGACAAGTTATTGGGGAAGAAGTCCAGCTGGGAAAAGAACAGAAGGGACAAGAAAAGAAGAGAAGCAGAGGTAGGTTGAAGCAAGACATTATATACTCTTAATATTATGTAAGAAATCTTTCTTTTTTCTGGGCTGGCTCCCTCCAGCTATAGGTACCTGGAGTCCTGGAGAACAGGGCCCATTGTGTCTATTTTATTCTAGTAAGCTGGCTTCCTAGTTCAATATTTGTGGATGAATAAATCACTGAACTCAAGGGCTAGTGAATCAGAGAAATAACTACAGAGGTCTAATCTTTATGTTAATCTTTGCCAGTCAGCAGTTTTGTGGGGGAGATTTCATTCATGTGTAAGGCTTTGCTAGGGACCAGAATTCCATTTATAGAATAGAAAGACAAACCAATTTGGAATGGGAAAGAGAACAGGAGGTGAGGTTCACAATGAACAAGGATTAAGTGGTTTATATTGGGGGTTTTCTAAGGAATATTTGGTTGAGCACCATGATGGGGAGTTAAACCCCTCTTGGATGTATATCCGCATATATGCAGACGAATATCTGAGGACAAAGTAAGAGTACTGACGAGGAATGTTGGTTCTGAAGTTGGACTGTCTCTTCGGAGACTGACTTCTCAACCCTTCAGCTATTGTCTTGAGATGTCCCCAAGATTTTGTTTTGAGGTCTGGTATGTTAACAGACATAGAGACAGCTTCCTTGAAAGAAGAGTTTATTACTTACCATTCCCAAGAGGAGAGGGCATACCATGCCCTGCAGAGCCATGTGGGGAAACACGAGGTGGGGGGGCAGTCAGTGTCAAGAAGGAGAGGAAGCAAGGAGAAAGCAAAGACCCAGAGCCTTGGTTGCAGCATCTATGAGAAGGAATGGGTAAAGCTGGGTAGGCAAGCTAGAGCAAGCTTAGAATCAGATTGTTCGAGTAATTCTGGCAGGCCCTGCGCTACAGTGGTAGCCTCTAGTGTTCCTGGGGTGAGTTAGGGCAGAGGAAATAGCTTGGTGTGTGACAGTTGGATAAAGAAGGCAGTTGGGGATGTGGGCTCTTACTTGATTGGTTTGCCTGCAAAAGGCATGCGGAAGACAAGCTGCTTGCTAGCTCTAGGAATTAGCTAACCCTGGGAGGGGCAGCCTCTCCAGAAATAGCAAGCCTCCCAGATGTCAAAGCATCATAAAATACAGAAAATTTTTAAAACATGATTAATACAGGGTGACAATTAATGAGGCGATGTGTTACACTCTGCAAACTGGAAGCATTTCATAATCATAAATTAGGATTATATAACACAACTCCCACTTTCCTGTGATAACAACTTGTGAATGTAGAAAGACATGAGTGAAAGATTGTAAATGCCCCATGTCCAAACTAGACCTTTGATTCAGATCTACAGACATCTTGATATTCAGGGTGATTTATAATAGAAAAGGCAGAGGTGGATCCAGGGCAGGGCAATAACTTCGGAAAACTTGAAACAGGGAGGTGACATGAACTGATGGAGAATGGTTTGCAAGGGTACAGAATGGAAGCAGGGAGATTTTTTCAAGAGTGGAACAGGAAAGAAATGATGGCAGAAGCAATGATGACAGAGAAAAATAGAAACGTAAGGGGTGTATCTTGGATGTACAGAGTTTAGGACTTTCTGAGAGTTTGGATGTTGGAACTGAGGAAGATCAAGGGACTGAGGATGACTCCTAAGTTTTGGTTGGTAACTAGGTGGTGCAATTTCCTGTGACGGTGATGTCTCCAGAAGGAATAGATTTTGAGAGGCAGAGGTTGAAAGAGTGAATAAAAAGCTCCGTAAGACCGCCAGATGGAGATATTAGATTGGCAGTGAGAGAAAGGAGTCTGAAGCTTACCGTACAGGACTGAGGACAACACTCCATCTCATCAAAAACCTGCTTCCAAGCTTACGCTAAAAACAAACGGTGGTAAAATTCTTTCCGGGTGGGAGGCATGTTATCCATGGAACCCTCATCCCAGATCTAGGCCCCCCGTCTTTGTTCGTACATTAGAAATAGTCCCCCTTATCTTAAGCTTCAGAACCTAAAGTGATTCCACTGATTTCAGTTTGTCTCTTAGTAGATTTCCTCTGCTCAGCCACATCTCAGCTTTTGAGAGTAGATTCTAGGATTGATTTAGAATAAGGCCATGAAGTTATCAGTACATTTTTGAGAAAAAAATAAAAAGGTACTGCTCACTTACCCTTAATAAGAGTCTAGTGATCCAGGTTTAAGTCATGCATCTACCGTAACTTAACAGCCATGATCTAGGTTGATTGAAAGCCCCTGTTTTATAGTGTAGTAAGACTAGAACAGGGACAATGGGGTCCGTCTGAATCCTTCCTCTAAATACTTCCATGTGACTTTTCACTATTTCTTTAACTTTTCTCATCCTCAGTTTCCCCATCTGTAAATAGAGGCACTGATAATAATGAGTACACACAGTATTTGTGAGTGTTAAATGAAATACCGCATATAAAGTCGTCAGCATCCTGCCTAGCATTCAGTAAGCATTCAATGAATGTTAGTTCTTATTACCTATCGGAAGTACCTAATTCCCCCAATGCCACAGGTTTCTTCCCTGTGGTGCCATAGACAGGATAAGCTGTATGGCACAAGGCAGGCAAATTCTCAAGTTGTCTGAAGGTTTTATGTGTGTGTAATATGGGACGGGTGTTTCTCTGATTTTAAAGAAGAGCCAGTTTTAGAATTAGAGGTCACCTAAAGATCACCTAAGGATCAAAAGTGGTTATTAATAAGGTTACATTTTTCCATGGAGGAGCTGCCTAGGTAAGGATGGCCACTGGGGAATTCTGG